TTGATTAGCCACGCAGTCATTGATTAGCCACGCAGTCATTGATTAGCCACGCAGTCATTGATTAGCCACGCAGTCATTGATTAGCCGCAGTCATTGATTAGCCACGCAGTCATTGATTAGCCACGCGGTCATTGATTAGCCATGCGGTCATTGATTAGCCACGCAGTCATTGATTAGCCACGCAGTCATTGATTAGCCACGCAGTCATTGTTTAGCCACGCAGTCATTGATTAGCCACGCAGTCATTGATTAGCCACGCAGTCATTGATTAGCCACGCAGTCATTGATTAGACGCAGTCATTGATTAGCCACGCAGTCATTGATTAGATGCAGTCATTGATTAGCCACGCAGTCATTGATTAGCCACGCAGTCATTGATTAGCCACGCAGTCATTGATTAGCCGCAGTCATTGATTAGCCACAGTCATTGATTAGCCACGCAGTCATTGATTAGCCACGCAGTAATTGATTAGCCACGCAGTCATTGATTAGTCACGCAGTCATTGATTAGCCACGCAGTCATTGATTAGCCGCAGTCATTGATTAGCCACGCAGTCATTGATTAGCCGCAGTCATTGATTAGCCACAGTCATTGATTAGCCACGCAGTCATTGATTAGCCACGCAGTCATTGATTAGCCACGCAGTCATTGATTAGCCACGCAGTCATTGATTAGCCACGCAGTCATTGATTAGCCACGCAGTCATTGATTAGCCACGCAGTCATTGATTAGCCACGCAGTCATTGATTAGCCACGCAGTCATTGATTAGACGCAGTCACTGATTAGCCACGCAGTCATTGATTAGCCACGCAGTCATTGATTAGCCACGCAGTCATTGATTAGCCACGCAGTCATTGATTAGACGCAGTCATTGATTAGCCACGCATTCATTGATTCGCCACGCAGTCATTGATTAGCCACGCAGTCATTGATTAGTCACGCAGTCATTGATTAGCCACGCAGTCATTGATTAGCCACGCAGTCATTGATTAGCTACGCAGTCATTGATTAGCCGCAGTCATTGATTAGCCACGCAGTCATTGATTAGCCACGCAGTCATTGATTAGCCACGCAGTCATTGATTAGCCACGCAGTCATTGATTAGCCACGCAGTCATTGATTAGCCACGCAGTCATTGATTAGCCACGTAGTCATTGATTAGCCACGCGGTCATTGATTAGCCACGCAGTCATTGATTAGCCACGCAGTCATTGATTAGCCACGCAGTCATTGATTAGCCACGCAGTCATTGATTAGCCACGCAGTCATTGATTAGCCATTCAGTCATTGATTAGCCATGCAGTCTTTGATTAGCCACGCAGTCATTGATTAGCCACGCAGTCATTGATTAGCCACGCAGTCATTGATTAGCCACGCGGTCATTGATTAGCCACGCAGTCATTGATTAGCCACGAAGTGATTGAATAGCCACGTAGTCATTGATTAGCCACGCAGTCATTGATTAGCCACGCAGTCATTGATTAGCCACGCAGTGATTGATTAGCCACGCAGTCATTGATTGGCCACGCAGTGATTGATTAGCCACGCAGTCATTGATTAGCCACGCAGTCATTGATTAGCCACGCAGTCATTGATTAGTCACGCAGTCATTGACTAGCCACGCAGTCACTGATTAGCCGCAGTCATTGATTAGCCACGCAGTCATTGATTAGCCACGCAGTCATTGATTAGCCACGCAGTCATTGATTAGCCACGCAGTCATTGATTAGACGCAGTCATTGATTAGCCACGCAGTCATTGATTAGCCATGCAGTCATTGATTAGCCATGCAGTCTTTGATTAGCCACGCAGTCATTGATTAGCCACGCAGTCATTGATTAGCCACGCAGTCATTGATTAGCCACGCGGTCATTGATTAGCCACGCAGTCATTGATTAGCCACGAAGTGATTGAATAGCCACGTAGTCATTGATTAGCCACGCAGTCATTGATTAGCCACGCAGTCATTGATTAGCCACGCAGTGATTGATTAGCCACGCAGTCATTGATTGGCCACGCAGTGATTGATTAGCCACGCAGTCATTGATTAGCCACGCAGTCATTGATTAGCCACGCGGTCATTGATTAGCCACGCAGTCATTGATTAGCCACGCAGTCATTGATTAGCCACGCAGTCAATGATTAGCCACGCAGTCATTGATTAGCCACGCAGTCATTGATTAGCCACGCAGTCATTGATTAGCCACGCAGTCATTGATTAGCCACGCAGTCATTGATTAGACGCAGTCATTGATTAGCCACGCAGTCATTGATTAGATGCAGTCATTGATTAGCCACGCAGTCATTGATTAGCCACGCAGTCATTGATTAGCCACGCAGTCATTGATTAGCCGCAGTCATTGATTAGCCACAGTCATTGATTAGCCACGCAGTCATTGATTAGCCACGCAGTAATTGATTAGCCACGCAGTCATTGATTAGTCACGCAGTCATTGATTAGCCACGCAGTCATTGATTAGCCGCAGTCATTGATTAGCCACGCAGTCATTGATTAGCCGCAGTCATTGATTAGCCACAGTCATTGATTAGCCACGCAGTCATTGATTAGCCACGCAGTCATTGATTAGCCACGCAGTCATTGATTAGCCACGCAGTCATTGATTAGCCACGCAGTCATTGATTAGCCACGCAGTCATTGATTAGCCACGCAGTCATTGATTAGCCACGCAGTCATTGATTAGCCACGCAGTCATTGATTAGACGCAGTCACTGATTAGCCACGCAGTCATTGATTAGCCACGCAGTCATTGATTAGCCACGCAGTCATTGATTAGCCACGCAGTCATTGATTAGACGCAGTCATTGATTAGCCACGCATTCATTGATTCGCCACGCAGTCATTGATTAGCCACGCAGTCATTGATTAGTCACGCAGTCATTGATTAGCCACGCAGTCATTGATTAGCCACGCAGTCATTGATTAGCTACGCAGTCATTGATTAGCCGCAGTCATTGATTAGCCACGCAGTCATTGATTAGCCACGCAGTCATTGATTAGCCACGCAGTCATTGATTAGCCACGCAGTCATTGATTAGCCACGCAGTCATTGATTAGCCACGCAGTCATTGATTAGCCACGTAGTCATTGATTAGCCACGCGGTCATTGATTAGCCACGCAGTCATTGATTAGCCACGCAGTCATTGATTAGCCACGCAGTCATTGATTAGCCACGCAGTCATTGATTAGCCACGCAGTCATTGATTAGCCATGCAGTCATTGATTAGCCATGCAGTCTTTGATTAGCCACGCAGTCATTGATTAGCCACGCAGTCATTGATTAGCCACGCAGTCATTGATTAGCCACGCGGTCATTGATTAGCCACGCAGTCATTGATTAGCCACGAAGTGATTGAATAGCCACGTAGTCATTGATTAGCCACGCAGTCATTGATTAGCCACGCAGTCATTGATTAGCCACGCAGTGATTGATTAGCCACGCAGTCATTGATTGGCCACGCAGTGATTGATTAGCCACGCAGTCATTGATTAGCCACGCAGTCATTGATTAGCCACGCAGTCATTGATTAGTCACGCAGTCATTGACTAGCCACGCAGTCACTGATTAGCCGCAGTCATTGATTAGCCACGCAGTCATTGATTAGCCACGCAGTCATTGATTAGCCACGCAGTCATTGATTAGCCACGCAGTCATTGATTAGACGCAGTCATTGATTAGCCACGCAGTCATTGATTAGCCATGCAGTCATTGATTAGCCATGCAGTCTTTGATTAGCCACGCAGTCATTGATTAGCCACGCAGTCATTGATTAGCCACGCAGTCATTGATTAGCCACGCGGTCATTGATTAGCCACGCAGTCATTGATTAGCCACGAAGTGATTGAATAGCCACGTAGTCATTGATTAGCCACGCAGTCATTGATTAGCCACGCAGTCATTGATTAGCCACGCAGTGATTGATTAGCCACGCAGTCATTGATTGGCCACGCAGTGATTGATTAGCCACGCAGTCATTGATTAGCCACGCAGTCATTGATTAGCCACGCAGTCATTGATTAGTCACGCAGTCATTGACTAGCCACGCAGTCACTGATTAGCCGCAGTCATTGATTAGCCACGCAGTCATTGATTAGCCACGCAGTCATTGATTAGCCACGCAGTCATTGATTAGACGCAGTCATTGATTAGCCACGCAGTCATTGATTAGCCATGCAGTCATTGATTAGCCATGCAGTCTTTGATTAGCCACGCAGTCATTGATTAGCCACGCAGTCATTGATTAGCCACGCAGTCATTGATTAGTCACGCAGTCATTGACTAGCCACGCAGTCACTGATTAGCCGCAGTCATTGATTAGCCACGCAGTCATTGATTAGCCACGCAGTCATTGATTAGCCACGCAGTCATTGATTAGCCACGCAGTCATTGATTAGACGCAGTCATTGATTAGCCACGCAGTCATTGATTAGCCATGCAGTCATTGATTAGCCATGCAGTCTTTGATTAGCCACGCAGTCATTGATTAGCCACGCAGTCATTGATTAGCCACGCAGTCATTGATTAGCCACGCGGTCATTGATTAGCCACGCAGTCATTGATTAGCCACGAAGTGATTGAATAGCCACGTAGTCATTGATTAGCCACGCAGTCATTGATTAGCCACGCAGTCATTGATTAGCCACGCAGTGATTGATTAGCCACGCAGTCATTGATTGGCCACGCAGTGATTGATTAGCCACGCAGTCATTGATTAGCCACGCAGTCATTGATTAGCCACGCAGTCATTGATTAGTCACGCAGTCATTGACTAGCCACGCAGTCACTGATTAGCCGCAGTCATTGATTAGCCACGCAGTCATTGATTAGCCACGCAGTCATTGATTAGCCACGCAGTCATTGATTAGCCACGCAGTCATTGATTAGACGCAGTCATTGATTAGCCACGCAGTCATTGATTAGCCACGCAGTCATTGATTAGCCGCAGTCATTGATTAGCCACGCAGTCATTGATTAGCCATGCAGTCATTGATTAGCCACGCAGTCATTGATTAGCCACGCAGTCATTGATTAGCCACGCAGTCATTGATTAGCCACGCAGTCATTGATTAGCCACGCAGTCATTGATTAGCCACGCAGTCATTGATTAGCCACGCAGTCATTGATTAGCCACGCAGTCATTGTTTAGCCACGCAGTCATTGATTAGCCACGCAGTCATTGATTAGCCACGCAGTCATTGATTAGCCACGCAGTCATTGATTAGCCACGCAGTCATTGATTAGCCACGCAGTCATTGATTAGCCACGCAGTCATTGATTAGCCACGCAGTCATTGATTAGCCACGCAGTCATTGATTAGCCGCAGTCATTGATTAGCCACGCAGTCATTGTTTAGCCACGCAGTCATTGATTAGCCACGCAGTCATTGATTAGCCACGCAGTCATTGATTAGCCACGCAGTCATTGATTAGCCACGCAGTCATTGATTAGCCACGCAGTCATTGATTAGCCACGCAGTCATTGATTAGCCGCAGTCATTGATTAGCCACGCAGTCATTGATTAGCCACGCGGTCATTGATTAGCCACGCAGTCATTGATTAGCCACGCAGTCATTGATTAGCCACGCAGTCATTGATTAGCCACGCAGTCATTGATTAGCCACGCAGTCATTGATTAGCCACGCAGTCATTGATTAGCTACGCAGTCATTGATTAGCCACGCAGTCATTGATTAGCCGCAGTCATTGATTAGCCACGCAGTCATTGATTAGCCACGCGGTCATTGATTAGCCACGCGGTCATTGATTAGCCACGCAGTCATTGATTAGCCACGCAGTCATTGATTAGCCACGCAGTCAATGATTAGCCACGCAGTCATTGATTAGCCACGCAGTCATTGATTAGCCACGCAGTCATTGATTAGCCACGCAGTCATTGATTAGCCACGCAGTCATTGATTAGCCACAATATTCCACTCTCTTTTCTCCTCTCCCTCTCTCATCTCTTTTCCTCTCCGCTGCCCCTCTGGCCTGTTCTCAGGCTGTTGGATCGCAGCACAGTGGGCGAGGAGCAAGCAGAGGATGAACCTGACAACGACTACCTCAAGGCATTCAAGGTAAGCCCGTGGGTTACTTATTGAGCCCTTCAAGGTAACTGCAACAAGTTCGCTATGGTACTTGAACTCAACGCAAGTGGTTTTATTGTGCTGTGTTGAGAACAAGCTGATGTCTAGCTGGCCCTCCTATTGCCATGTGTTCCCTGCCACCGCAGGTTGCCAATTTCGGCTTTATGTCGGAAGCAGGTCAAACTGAGTGTGCCATTTTATCGAGGTGACTTTTGAGTTGACTCTAAAGAAGTCCCTCGTATTGCCAACGTTCCTTGCCACTGCAGGTTGCCAATTTCAGCTTCGTGTCAGAAGCAGATCAGGCAGAGGCTGACGCAGAGAAGGAGAGAGAGCTGGAGCGAGAAAGGCAAAGAGAACAGGAACTAGCAGGGGAGGGGGAGGGGGAGGGGGAGAAAGACTGGATTCTAAAAAATCCACCCATTTCTTGCCCTCCTATCGTCATGCCCTCCTTGCCACCACAGGTTGCGAATTTCAGCTTCGTGTCAGAAGCAGATCAAGCAGAGTGTGCCATTTTAACGAGGTGACCTTTGAGTCGCCTTGACCCTAAAGAAGTCCCTCATATTGCCACGTGTTCCCTGCCACCGCATGTTGCTAATTTCAGCTTCGTCTCAGAAGCAGATCAAGCGGAGGTGGACGCAGAGAAGGAGCGAGAGCTGGAGCGCGAAAGGCAGCGAGAACAGGAGCTAGCAGAGGAAGGGAAACGCTTAGATGCAGCAGGGAGAGCCGCCTACTGGGAGTCATTGCTGAAAGACCGATACGAGGCCGAGCAGATCGAGTCGTTTCTGGAGCTTGGTAAGGGGAGGCGGGCGAGGCGGCATGTGGATTATACGGTTGATGGGGAGGAGGAGGGGGAGCAGGTGGGGGGTAAGAAGGGGGAGAGAGGGGGGAAGGGTGACAAAGGGGGGGAAGGAGAGGGGGATGAGGCATATGATGAGGATGGGGAGGAGGACGACGGGGAGGATGGGGAGAGTGATGTGGAGCTTGAGGAGGAGAGTACGGGGAGGGGGAGGAAGAGGAAGGTTAGGTACAGAAAGCCGGTTCCAGCTACCTCTCCTGGTGCTGCTGTGGGAGGGGCGGGAGGAGGGGGGAGTGCGGGGGAAGTGAGGAGGAAGGTGTGGCCGTTGATGGAGGGGGCATGGCCGCACACCAAGGTGCTGGGATTCACATCCAAGCAGCGCATGACCTTCCAGCAACTCATCATGCGGTGAGAAGGGAAAGGGTGCATGTTGGGGAAGTGGTGCTTGGGGTTTTGAGACGTCTCAAAACTTCACTCATTTCGCATGTTGGGGATGACTGTCAGCAGACTGTGCTGTGATGAATGGGACATGAATGGCAGGGATAAGGTACTGGGGTTCAGATGACACGCCCCCCCTCAAAACCTCTTGCCGCAGGTTCGGGATCGGTGATTTCAGCTGGAAGGAGTTCGTGCCTCGACTCAAGCCACGCACTCTGCAGGAGATTAAAGAGTGAGTTTGAGATTCACAGGAGAGCTTTGAGTTTACTCATAAGGCACCTTGTTCTGCTTCAACTGAAAAGGAGTTTTTTCTTGCCATGCACCTTGCAGGCTATTAAGGTGTTAGTTACTTCTGAGCATACTTTAGTATGCTAGAAGATTATGAAAATTATGAAATAGCTAGATTCAAGAAGATCTGCTTTGAGCTGATCTGCATGTGCGTCTATGATCTGCACGTGCGTCTATGATCTGCCTGTGCATCTATGATCTGCATGTGCATCTATGATCTGCATGTGCGTCTATGATCTGCATGTGCGTCTATGATCTGCATGTGCGTCTATGGTTCTCTGTGGTTTAGCGTGCCTGTGGAGTAGAGGTTTGGCGTTGTGCTGTACTGTTTCATCTTCCAGTGATGAGTTTCTATGCTCGTGAATAGTTGTGTGATGTTTTCTATGCTCTCTCATCCTGCTTTCATTCTAAATCATGCTTCTTCTGATCATCCGTCTCCCCTCCCATCAGCTACGGTGCCCTTTATCTGAAGCACATCCAAGAAGATCCAACCAGCAAAGACACATTCTCAGGTGCCCTGCATTTTCCTCGTTCTCCCGCCTACCTCTTCAGCTGTTGCCAAATGGCTTCACCATGTGAGCGCGTGCACTTGCGTTCCGTTCTGTGTGTGCAGCACTCTACACGTAGCACTGTACACGTAGCACTGTACACGTAGCACTGTACACGTAGCACTGTACACGTAGCACTGTACACGTAGCACTGTACAAGTAGCTCTGTACAAGTAGCACTGTACACGTAGCACTGTACACGTAGCACTGTACATGTAGCACTGTACACGCAGCACTGTACACGCAGCACTGTACACGTAGCACTGTACACGTAGCACTGTACACGTAGCACTGTACACGCAGCACTGTACACGTAGCACTGTACACGTAGCTCTGTACACTCAGCACCATTCATGCAGCTCCATTCCGTTCCGTTGGATAGAACTTTATTCCAGTTGCTCAGTGACCACCAGGCTCACTCGTGTCACATAGGTGAAGCCTTTCGACTTCATGTGTCCGACTGCACACCATGCCGGCATGAAGAAAGCCGTACGTGTGACATGACTACTCATGATGCTGTTTCATCATGAATCAGCTGGCTGCGTCTTAAAGCTTCCTCTCGACATGATGACTTGGTAGTTAGATAATGTCAGTCATCCTCTCTCATCCTCCCAGTCATCGGCCAAGCCATCATGTCCTGTGAAATAGCAACCGGAAGCTCCTAAACGCTGCTAGCTGATTCAGGATGCAACAGTAAGAGTTGCTCCACGTTCTGCTTTCGTCACGCCTGCATGGCATGCAGCCTGGAGGTCCACATTGCAAGTCAAAAGGCTTCACCTTTGTCACCGTGCGAGTGCACACGCGATTGCAGTCCTTTCTGTGTGTCAGCACCATGCATGTAGCACTGTGCAAGTAGCACTGTGCATGTAGCACCATGCATGTAGCACTGTGCATGCATCCTACGCGACCCACCTTTTATTCATTCTTGTAACCTCATGCTTCCTGTGTCCGCTACTCTCGCTCCTCCTCCTTGTCATGACCCGTCCCTTAGTTGCTGCACCCCCCTCTCCCCTTCCACCAGACAGAGTGCCCAGGGAGGTGCTAATCCGCCTGGCCCTGCTGCACCTCATTCCCCTCTCCCTTCCCCTCTCCCTTCCCCTCTCCCTTCCCCTGTCCCTTCCCCTCTCCCTTCCCCTGTCCCTTCCCCTCTCCCTTCCCCTCTCCCTTCCCCTCTCCCTTCCCCTCTCCCTTCGCCTCTCCCTTCCCCTCTCCCTTCCCCTCTCCCTTCCCCCATCCCTACCCTCCACTCCCCTTCTCCTCACTCCCCACCTCCTTCGTCCTTACCTTTCCACCAGACCCCTTCCGGCCCTCTGCTGGCGCGCCCCCCCCGCTGACGCGCCCCTGTAGCCGAGCCCCTGCCGGCCCCTGCACACAAGCTGCTGGCGCTGCCCCTGCTGGTGCGCCTCTGCCGGCCACTGCAAACGGCCCCTGCTGGCGCACCCCTGCCGGCCCCTGCACGCGAGCCCCTGCCTGCCCCTATTGGCGCGGCCCCAGCTAGCGCGCCTCTACCGGCCCCTCCTGGCGCGCCCCCTACAGTCCCGGCCCGCCCCTGCACCCGTTTCTGGTAAGCCGAGCAGCGCCACCCAGCCGAGCCGCGCTGCCCAGCCGAACCGCGCCGCCCAGCCGAGCCGCGCCGCCCAGCCGAGCCGCGCCGCCCAGCCGAGCCGCGCCGCCCGGCCGAGCCGCGCCGCCCAGCACTGACTTGCGCTACTGCTGCTACTGCTGCTACTGCTGCTACTGCTACTACTGCTGCTACTGCTACTATGGCTAGTTCGACTGTTCTCACCTTTGATGCTGAGGGATTTTGACGTATGGGTTGACGACCTCCAGCTCTTTCTTCAGTGTGATTCTAGGGATGGGGTATCCCTTTTTCGATCACACGTCAGGTGTTTCCACTGCTCCTACTGCCACTGCTGACAGTACTGTTCGCTCGCAGTGGACCACTCGTGACGCTGTTGCTCGTCTTGCTGTTCGTAGTCACCTGCCGCCTGCTGAGCGCGCGCACTTTGGCCAGTACAAGACTGCTCAGTCTCTGTACGACGCTGTAGTTGCACGCTACTCCTCCCCTGCCACTGCTGCCCTCAGCCGCCTCATGCTGCCGTACCTTTTCCCTGACCTTGCTGCCTTTGCCACTGTCGCTGACCTAGTTGCTCACCTTCGCGCTAGTGATGCCCGCTACCGTGCTGCCCTTCCCACTGAGTTCTGTGCCAAGAACCCCCCCCCCATGTACATCACCCTTTACTACCTAGTCACCCGCCTCCCTGACTCTCTCTCTTCAGTCAGGGACCACTTTCTCTCCCTTTGCCCCACCGAGCTGGCTGTCGACCTGCTAGAGGAGCGCCTTGCTGCAGCTGAGAAGAGTATCTTAGCTGTAGGTGCTTCTCGCGGCGACCGTCGCACCCCCTTCTTTGAGGGGTGTTCCCCTGTCCCCCTTCTCCCCTCTGTTGCTTCTGCTGCTGCTGTCAACCTCATTGGCACTGAGGAGGTCGGCGCTGCGTCTGCCCCTAGTGGGAGACGCCGCAACAGCAAGGGCAAGGGGAGCAAGGGTGGTGGAGGGGGTGGCGGGGGCGGCGGCGGAGGAGGTGGAGGAGGCGGAGCGGGTGGCGGTGGAGGTGGGGGTGGTACCGGGAGTGGGGGCTTCAGTGGCGGCGGTGGAGGTCGTGGCGTCGGTGGCGGAAGTGGTGGAGGCAGTGGCAGCGGTGGTGGAGGTGGAGGCGGCAGTGGTGCTGGTTGAGGTGCAGCCGCGCAGCGTGGGGGCGCTGGTGGCAGCCAGCGCCAGCAGCAGCTGCGCACCCGTGAGACCCCTTCAGTTCAGCAGCTTCGTGAGTGGTACGCTGGGCGTGGGAGGTCTGGGAGTGCAGGTCCCTGCACTTACGTTCTTCACACCGGTGCTCGCAGTGGGGAGGTGTGTGGGCTCCCACACACCACGCAGCGCTGCTTCGGTCGCTTGACTGACGCTTGGCGTACCCAGTTTCCTGACGCTGCTGAGCTCCCTCGCTGGCATGATCTACTTCTGCAGAATGTGCCTATCTTTGATCTAGATTTTGATGCTATCCTTACCGCCATGTATGCTCTTACTGATATTACTGAGGGTGACTGTTACCTGAGTGTCCCGCCCGACCCGGGCACTGCGGCTGCTGCTCTAGGTGCTAGGGCGGCTGCTGCTCTAGGTGCTAGTGCGTCTGCTGCTCCAGGTACTTGTGCATATGCTGCTCCAGGTGCTGGTACGTCTACTCTCTCTGGTACTGCACCTACTGAGTCCCTGCACACTTTCACACTTGACTCTGGTGCTTCGCGCTCTTTCTTTAGAGACAGCACCACGCTCACGCCGCTCAGTCGGCTTGTTGCGGTCTCCCTTGCTGACCCCTCAGGGGGCCCAGTCCTTGCACACTCCTCTACAGTTTTACCGTGTCCTGCGGCCCCGTCGGGCTTGCTGTCGGGACTCCACCTCCTCTCGTTCTCTACGAACTTGGTGAGTGGAGCTGACCTCCAGGACGCGTGGGTTGACCAGTTCACCCCTAGAGGTCAGCGTGTGACCCACTGCACTTGTTCTCGGACGGGCCGCCACCTGGCCACGTTCACCCGTCGGCCAGGGTCGAGTCTGTACACACTGACTACTGCGCCTCCTCCGGTCCCTGCGTCTGGTCAGGTAGCTGCGTCCAGTCAGGTGTTTGCTGCCGCGTCCAGGTCTAGTCCTGCGTCTGCCCCCTGCTCGTGTCGTCCTCTGGTGCACGAGACTCTCCTTTGGCACCACCGCCTTGGTCACCCCTCCCTGCCTCGTCTTCGAGGTATGGCCTCCCGTGCTCTTGTCTCTGGACTCCCCAGGTCCCTTCCTCCCCTTCCTCCGGGGCCTGCCCCCACCTGTGTTCCTTGTGTCGAGGGCCGGCAGCGCGCCGCTCCTCACTCCTCCTCGTTTCCTCCGACTGAGGCCCCTCTGCAGACTCTTCACATGGACGTGTGGGGCCCAGCCCGCATCCGTGGACATGGTCACGAGCGTTACTTCCTGCTGGTCGTTGACGACTGACTACTCGCGTTACACCACAGTCTTCCCCTTGCGCAGCAAGGGTGAGGTCCCTGAGGTGTTGATCGACTGGATCCGCGGTGCTCGTCGCCAGCTTAGTGAGAGTTTCGGCTCAGACCTTCCTGTTCTGCGTCTGCACTCAGACAGAGGTGGGGAGTTTTCCTCCGACCTCCTGAGAGCCTTCTGTCGTTCTGAGGGCATCCGCCAGACGTTCACGCTTTCGGCCTCCCCGCAGCAAAATGGGATTGCTGAGCGCCGCATTGGCATGGTCATGGACGTCGCTCGTACGTCCATGATCCATGCGGCTGCTCCCCATTTTCTGTGGCCGTTCGCGGTTCAGTACGCTGCGCATCAGATCAACCTTCAGCCTCGTGTCTCCTTGCCGGAGACCACACCTACTCTGCGGTGGACGGGGAAGGTTGGCGATGCGTCCGCGTTCCGTGTCTGGGGATCTCGAGCTTTTGTCCGCGATACTACAGCGGACAAGCTGTCCTCTCTGTTGGTGCAACCCTACGGTTTGCACTCGGCTTGTTGTCCGTGTGCGTGAATGTGTGTGTGTATGGAATGGTATGAGGGCATGGGATAATATATATTTCATGCTTATAATTGTGTGTGAATGTTGAGTCATGATGTCGAGTGTGTGTGTCGAGTCAATAGCGAGTTATCGCTAGACGCGTGTTACGCGGTCGTTTGTGTCTCGCGCGCGGTTTCTATTTTGTCGTGCGCGGTTTCTATTTTGTCCTGTGTCGAACGTTCGGCGTGTCGCAGGTGTGTGCAGCAGACCCATCAAGAACTCAAGGATGAGTTTGTGATGAAGAGCCCGAGCCTTGGTGTCAAGCCTCAAGTGATTTCGAAGCTCGCCAAAAAGGGTACACCTCAAGATATTGAAGATAGTTACATTACTTTGTGTAGTGTAACATTTCACTTGGTGTAGGCCCTAGTGAAGGGTAGTTTCGAGACCCTTCGTGGTTGGGGACAGTGTGGCACTGTTCCACATCACTGTACCTCGGCTCTTGGGGTTTGTAGGAGCTGGGAGTCATTCCCAACTCGTAACTCTTCCTATCTTGTGTTCTAAGACTATAGTGGCTGCCATAGTACCGTTCGTTCAAACCGACGCTGTGTCGTCAATTCTTTATCAAATCGTGCAATCTAAATTGATAATTGTAGACGACGTAAAGACGCTCCAGATCCCATTTGAATCAAGTCATTTGCAGCTGTGAGCAGAACGCTATCAACGTTTGAAGCCGCTGTGCAGAAATCCGTCTGTGCTCTCTATCTTTCGTTTTAGGCACATTCAAGCCTATTGTGACTATAACAAGTGGTATCAGAGCCCCTTGGAGCAGTTTCGACAATGTCTGGACCTGAGAAAAGGGGTGGCAGAGGTGCTGGTGGCAGTGGAGAAGCTCAAACTCAAGGCCAACCCCGTGATTCAGCCATGGCGCCCATGCAACCAAGTCTTGGCCCACCTAGGGATGAGCCTAGGGTGTTTGGGCTTGACAAGTTCAACGGTGACAACTTTGCTGAATGCTCCTTCAAGATGGAGAACATCTTTGACCACTATGACCTGCTGGAGGTGATGGAAGGAACGGAGAAGCGCCCCGAGAACGACCCGGAGAAGAGCCCGTGGGTGCGGAAGAGCGCACAAGGCTATCTCTTACTTGGGCAAGCGTTGGGGAGCAGTCAGATCCGTCACATCAAGCCATTCCAGCGTGAACCAGAGAAAGGACCAAAGGCATGGGCTGCTCTCAAGGGTGTACATGCTCCTGCAACAGCGGCGGTAGCGGTGGTGTTGGAACGGCAAATGGCGGCACTACGAATTGAAGAAGACGAAGCGGTTGAAGAAGGGGTGCAGAAATTCTTCGACTTGTTGACGCGGCTTGAGGGAGCTGATTTGAACTACAGTGAGCTCCAAAAGAAGACCAAGTTGCTGGCCTTACTCCCAGAGTCATGGTCCTCGCTCATCATCAACCTTAATCGCGACGTGCCCCGCCTCTCGCTTGAAGACGTGAAGCGAGCTATCCTTCAAGAGGATTTCCGCCGCCGTGAGTTGGCGAGTGCGGATGGCGCTGGGGCAGCGAGCATCGGACGTGGATATGGTCGAGGAAGAGGCAGAGGACGAGGGGGAGGAAGGTTTGGTGGCAGCAACTTCGGCGGAGGCCGCAGGAGTGGCGGTTACGGCAGCGACGACAAGAGCTACGGACGCGGTCGCGGCCGATTCGACGGCGAGTGTCACTATTGCCACAAGAGCGGACACATGTGGCGCGACTGCTACAAACTCCCTGATGGTTGGACCCCTGCTCAAGGCCAAGAGGG